ACCCCCGGCGGGACTTCTTCCTTGGGCCTTGAGCAAGGGCACCCACATGTTCTCCGGGTTGGTCAGCGGGCAGGCGCAGGGCTGGCAGTCCTCAGGCGTTCCGGCCGTGGCATCTCCATAGTAGCCAGGGGCACACAGCTCACAGAACTCCCCAATGGCATTGTGCTGGCATTGCTGTGAGGTACAAACACACCGGCCACTCACCCTTTGGCAGAATTTACCAAAAACCCTTACAACTTTGGAATCCTTTGATCTGGAAATACCATGTTTGTGCATTTATCTTAAAGACTGTTCAGCTCAGCGATGTTTATAGAAGCAAAATACTGGAAATAAACCTAAAAATCCATGAAGAGAGAAACTAAAAACAACTCCCACCCAACTATCTAACATAGGACGATATTGATGACATTTCCTACATTTTCTCCCTAAACAGCTGGAATATCACAGGGAAAGCAAAGGGGTACACCTGGGTATCGGGGGAGTTTTAAAAATAGATGCTTTATTATAAATACATGGGGGGTAATAGTCTTCTCCAAAGAGATTCATGCTTGTTTGATTAATGTGCCATGCTCCTTGCTCTGTCAACCACCTAACCCTGACCACATACTGCAGGGGGGCTAAGACATCCCACTCTGAAAAGTTCAGGTGTAAAAAATGATATGGAAAGAGGTTCAAGACCCTATAAGTGGAAAAAGCTCACTAAACACAACGATCCTATGCTCATTTGGAAAACAAAAGGGTACATTAATACGTACAGACATCGGCCCAGAAAAAGAGCAGAAGCCCTCCACACTGATGTTGACAGTAATCACCCCCAGGTGGTAGGACTACAGGAGGTTTTTAATTTCTTTTGGGGTTAGCTCTGTAGTCTGACGTGTCTACAGAGAACACGTGCCACTTGGATGATAAAAAATTGCAGGTTACCAAAGTTTTCTTTTATAAAGACAGATGCTATTCCAGCCCCAGCCAGTTTGGCTCAGTGGAGAGAGCATCAGCCCACAGACTGAAGGGTGTCAGGTTCAATGCCCGTCAAGAGAATACCTCAGTTGTGGGCTCGATCCCTGGCTTTGGTTAGGGCACGTTGGGAGGCAACCAATTGATGTATCTCTCTCACATGAATGTTTCGCTCTGTCTCTCCCCTTCCCTTCCACTCTCTCTAAGAATTAATGGAAAACATCCTTGGGTAAGGATTAACAAAAACAATCTATAACAATAAAAGTGTAATATGCTAATTAAACCGGACAGCCGAACAGCGGAACAACCGTCTAGATCACATGTGTCAAACACAAGGCCCGCGGGCCAAATCCGTCCCGCCAGAGCTTGCAATGTGGCCCACACCACGCTGTCATCACTGCACTCTGCTGCGTTTCCATCACAATGACAGTTTATGACTGTTCAGTAAACCATTCGGCCCGCAATTTAGGCTGGATTTTAGATTTTGGCCCCTTCTCTGATTGAGTTTGACACCCCTAGTCTAGATGGCCTTCCAGACAAAGCCGGGGCTGTGAGGCAGCCGCCACGGCTGGGAGGGCCAAGCCCCTTGCACAAATTTTTGTGCATCGGGCCTCTAGTAAACAAAGATGGATGCTATTCCATTGTCCTGGCTACCCCATCATGGCTGCTGCCACCTGCTGGCATAGGTGCTTTGTCCCACAGGCCATGCCCCATGATCTTTGTCCCTGGACCTAGGCTGACCTTACCAAGTCCACCCCTCCCTACCCTGCAGTGAGCTCTGGTACCCCACCCAGGCCCACCCAAGCTGACCCCTGCCCTGGCCCTGTTTGCATCTTACCGAGCAGGCCCCAGTCTCTGGGTGGCACAGGTCCGAGTGGCCGTTGCATTCGCACAGCTCACAATGGCCGAGGTAGAGCCCACTCCCGGTGCGTGTGTAGCCCGGGGCGCAGTCCTGGGAAGGGGGAGAGGAAGGTTGGTCTCCATCTCTGGTGCAGTCCCTTCCAAAGCCAGGAGACCCTGAACCCCACACCCTCCTTCCCTTCCCACCAGCTAGCCTCTCGCTGGCTCTGAAAGGGAAAATCCCAGGCCCAGCCCTCCACCCCCTCACCCTCTCCCAGCCACCCTCTTCCACGTCTCCGTCTTCACTTTACACTCCGAAGCTGGATGTTGTCCCAGCTCATCCTGGCATCGCCCGCCCCTTACATTCACTGCAATAATAGTTCATCCTGAATGGAGAACCCATATCCCCAGGACTCTGTTCCCGAAAATTCTTCAGGCAGGGTCTTTATTGGAAGAATGTAACCCTCGATGGGAAAAGAGGGCTCAGGAGAGGATCTGGAATGAGCCCTTGAAGAGCTTCACAACCATTTGTAGGTGCATGACACAAAGCGACAGAGGCTGCACACACACCCGAGGATGTTTTCCCCCATTCTCGGTGAGTACTCGTGGGCTCTGAAAACAATGAGCTGCTGTTCGCCAGCCCTTCTCTGAAATCTCTCCAGGCCCGCCCCCTCTCCCCAACCATTTCAAAGGCACGTTTATAAATCTGCTTGGCTTCACTGCAGAAAAAGTGCACCAAGGATTCTGCTTTCCCCAGGGGTCCTCCTTCAAAACGTGTTACATTTTTATCATTTCAAGGGATCTGAAGTTCGTGGACTTGGGTTTGAAAATTCTTGTGGCCGCAGTGCAGGGGCACCGATGGAACACTGCAGAGATGTGGGCTTCCCACGGTGGGGTTCCCGAGGGGCTGGGAGGGAGGCTGCTTCCATGGTGGACGGATGCCACTGCCCTCCCTCCCAATGGGACTCCCTTCTGTCCCATCCACCTCACTCACCATTGGCGGAGGGATTTTCCCGGGGCCCAGCTCCCACTGGTAGCCTTGCTCCAGGCCTAAGAAGTTCCCACACCCCACCCCGGCTTTCCAGGGGCGACCCTTCCCCACACGCTCCTCTGAGCTTCTGCCTTCCTGCCTAGAACCCTCTCCCCTCCCGCGGTCCCTCCTCTCTCTGAGACACTCCACGCTCTGCTTTGGGCTAGACTCTGCCCGTCTCTGCTGGGCACCCTGAGGGCACACGCTGGGTCTGAACCTCCGGAGGCGGCAGCTGTGTGCCCTCAGTAAGCTATTCACCCTTCAGTGCCTCTATTGTTAAAAAAAAAAAAAAAAAAACCGTTAAAAGGGGATAATGACACATTTCCAGGGCTGCTGGGGAGAATAAACGAGATATTGCAGAGCACATTGAAGCCATGACTCGTCAAATGCCAGTTGACCAGCTAGTGGCGGATCCAGCAGCGCCAGAGCAGCGGGGCCTGGGCTGCCACGCTCACCTGGCAGGACAGGCCCACGTAGCCTGGGGGGCAGCGGCATTCCTCCACCTCCAGGGCCGGGGGTCCCCTCGAGGGCCCGGGCTGGGCGACCTCCAGGCTGACCCCGCTGATGCTGGCCGCCAGGGGCACCGAGGAGAACGTGGCCCGGATCAGGAGCTCGTCCAAGTCAGCCAGCGCCATCAGGAGGTGCTCGCGTGTAGCTGGCTGCCCGTCAGGCCGGCGCCAGAATTCCTGGGTGGAGGGACGATAGCACGTGTGGGGGAGAGGGGTCAGGCTCTGTGCGCTGCTTCTGCAGCAACCCGTCCCCCGACTCCTGCCTTCAGGCACTGGAGGAGGACCCTGAGGTGAGGATGGGGGAGCGAGCAGCAGGGTGGCTGGCGTCAAAGCCGGGCTCCAAAGCAAGGGTGGGGGTGGGGGAGGGTCGGACACAGGGTGGCGGGTGTTCCTTACCTCTCGGAAAACAATCTCATAGCTTTTCCTCTCGGAGCCCTGCAGTGCTGGCTGGGAGGCCACCAGCATGATGTTGTTGCCCTGGGAGACACCAGTGGGATTTGGGGGGGAATGAGGGGCTCTTGGGAACACTGGCGTCCTCCACCAGATCCACACTCTCTGTACCACCCGCCTCCCACGCTCCAGCCTTCCAGCTCATGTGCCCAAAGGAATCTGGCACATGCCCACTGCCCCCTTCTCCCGGCAGCTGGGCCTCTGCCTGGGTGGTGTGCGAACAGATGTTGAGGTGGGAGCATGGGGTTACCCCCACCCCCCTAGCCCGTGCCAGGCCAGCTGAGCGCTGGACTGAAAGGACAGAGGAAATAGTGAGGGTGATGCCTGACCTGCCCTCAGCCCGCCCGGCATGGAATCGGGTGCTCACCATGATCTGGATGTCAGGGTCCGAGAGTGAGCTGCCCTGCGCCCCGGCTGTGTAGGACAGGGTGTACCGCAGCTTCCCGCCATAAGCTGCCACCTGCGAGAGGGAAGACCGGCAGTCACAGCCTGATCGCCCTCCTCTGGTGAGGGGGCAGAATCTTGCAAGGCGCTTTTGTACCCGTGCTGTCTCACCCACCACCCAAACAGAGGCTGGGCAATAGGCCTGGCCTGCAGCTGCCTAGGAGACAGGCCATCACTCAGTTCCCGTACAGCCTGAGCTGGTGGCAATGACCCTGAGCAGCCTGTTTTCTGCTTTGGGGGCTTCCCATTTCCAAGTGCCTAACAATCACAGCAAACACGCTCCAAGGCCCTGTCCATGAGAAGGAACTACCCAAAGAGCAGGCAGGAGTAACGACCGTGACCACCCGGGGAGGCTGCCAAAGGTTCAAGTTCTCAGCCAGGGGAACGGGGCTGAGGGTGGCCCTCCGAGGTCTTGTCCCCTGGGCAGGTGGGCTTTGTCTGCTCAGAATCCGTTCCCCGCTTTTGGCAAACTGCAGCCTTGGTTTCCTTGAAAAGAAACCATGTCCTACATGCAGGCCATGTAGTCTGAGCAGAGACATGAGCCAGGCCTGGCCAATCCCACGTTCCGTTACTCCCACTCCACTCCACCAGACGTGGACACATGACCTGGCTCATCCGCTCTTTCTATTAAAAAAAAATATATATATATTTTATTGATATTTTACAGAGAGGAAGAGAGAGGGATAGAGAGTTAGAAACATCGATCAGCTGCCTTTTGCACACCCCCACTGGAGATGTGCTTGCAACGAAGGTACATGCCCTTGACCGGAATCAAACCTGGGACCCTCCAGTCCGCAGGCTGACACTCTATCCACTGAGCCAAACCGGTTTCGGGTCATCTGCTCTTTCTACTGGAACAGAGAAACTTCCTTTACCAGCCATCCTGGAGGCCAGAGGAGGACACCAACTGAGACGAAGTCCCAGTGACCCCCTGGGCCCAGCCATGCCTGGTACCAGACGCCCTTGGACTCTGGAACTAGCTGAGCCAACAGATTCCTTTCTTTGTTGCCGACAAGCCAGTGCGACTGAGGTTCTCTGTGGCTCACAGTGAAACGGCCCTCAGTTCTGTCACCGAAGGCTTTCATGTGGGCAGCCAGAGCCGCCGCTCCGCCCACAGGACGTCCCTTCCTGTCCTCTGCCATCAGGGCGGATGCTCAAACCAACACCACAGCGCATCACGCCTAGCCCATTTGTTCACTGGTTTGTTCGTTGGGTTGTGAGCATGTATTCAATGTCTCCGGACAACATGCCGGTCCCTGAGGATGTTCTCCACAAGCTCAGGGTGAGGTGAGAAGGTCAGGGCCATCACCAGCTAACCAAGACACGACTATAGTTTTCTGTTTGCTCTGGATGCCAGCAAGTTCGTTGCCATGTTCAGGATCAAGCTGCAGGCCTGTGCAGCAGAGTGGCTAAGGGAGCAGACTCCGCCGTCTGAGACCAGGGTTCAAATCCAGATCTACTGACTGGACGGCCTTGGACAAGCCCCTTAAGCTCTGAGTCTTACGTGCCTCCTATGGAAGTGGGAGTGAAAATAACGCCCCGCTGGGAGAACAGCATGAGGCCTGAGTGCCACGGGCCACATAAAACACGGCACTCAGCATGGTGCCTGCGACACCCAGCCCCAGGGCTGCCGTCCCCACCACGTCCAGCTCCGCCCGTGGCTTCGGCAGGGCTTCCCCGTCCTCATTCCCCTGGGCCCAGCTTTCTTGTCTGCTGCTCTCTGTGTGTTCTTTTATTACGAATTATGTGTCTTCTCTAGAACAGCGGTCGCCAGCCGGTGGTCCATGGACCACTATGTGGTCCGTGAGGTCCGAAAGGTTGGCGACCGCTGCTTTAGACGACTCTAAGTCATTTTTGGAATAAGATGGAGATGATGCCGATATAACACTAAAGTTAATAATAATGCTGCTGGTGCTGAGAACAGGAAGGATAATCAGACCAACAGTGAGCGCTGGGAGGCCGGGGTCTTCGCTCTTCTGCAATACAGCCACGGCGCACGGTGAGTACTTAACCAATGCTTCTTGAATGAAGGAACGTAGTGCCAGGAGCTAGTTCAGTGGCGCAGGGTAAAGGGAGCCTAAAGGAGGGGAGTCTCCCTTTAAGGCAAGACAGCCCCTCTGCCAGGGGCCTGTGGCCACTGAAGAGCAAGTGCTGAGCTGGGTGCAACCTCAGCTACTCTGACCTAAACGTGGAACCTCAGGCAAGTCCCTTCCCCGCTCTGGGCCTTGGTCTACCCATTAGATCATGAAGGGCTTTGACAAAGGGCCCTCTGGAATTTCAGGATTCGATGACACCCCGAACACTCCCAGCTCCCTGTTACCTTGTTCCCCAGGAAGGCTTGGGGCAGCTGCCAATAATAGAGGCTTCCAGGAAGCAGAGAGAAGCCTTCGTAGGAGAGAGAGAACTAGGACAGAAGGACAGGCAGTGAGAGCTGAGGGGGTAGGGGCGGGGCATGAGGACCGAGGGACAGAGCCCCACACCCCACCACCGAGGTCCCAACCCTGCTTTTGGACAACTTGCTTCCCCTGTCTGGAACAAACACCCCAACTGCTCTCACTGGGCATGGTTTGGGTCTGGGCCTCCTGTGGACCCCAAGGTGACAGACGCAGCACACCAGAAAGTTTTTAAATGCAATGGCAGGCTTAAAGCGTACTTAAAAATGCATAGCTAGCATAACTGAGATATTACATGATAGATTTAAAGGAAAATCTGAACTAAATACTAATCCAGGCAGCGTGTGGAAACACCAGAAATTGTGAAGTTGGTTCAGAACCAGCGTCTAGAAAACATGGTGTGTGTGGGTCTTTGGTGGGTGCCTTGGCACATACCTGTGAGCCTATGGAAGACAGAGGAGCGGAGGCGGAAGCGGAGGAGGAGGAGGAGGAGGAGGAGGAGGAGGAGGAGGAGGAGGAGGAGGAGGAAACTGCTCGCAGAGCAGCTGCAGGCTGGGGATAGGGCAGGAGCCCGGGGGCAGGGGGGTGAGGTTGGGCAGCAAAGCTGGAAAGGAGCTGCCAGATCTCAGCGTCCATCCTCCTCTGGGCCTCGTCCACCTGAGGGACCAGGAGAGGGAGGGCAGAGGAAGGAGCAGAGAGGGATAGGAAGGATGTTGTGAGGCTTTGCCCTCCCGCAGGCCGCGCCAGGCCCAGCCAGCAGTCTGCTTCTGTTTTGTTTATAACTGCTGATGCCTGACGCTCTGGCCCTCGTACCCGTCACCCTCTTGCTCCTCATGAGCCTAATGGGGCGAGCCCGGGACGGGCTCAGGTGACTACAGGCTCTGGCTATGGAGAAAGGGTACCTGGCAAGAGAGGGGCAGACCTAGAGGCATCTGTGGGAGGGAGGGCTCCTTGGGCCTCACTCCCCATGCGTACCCACGGTGCCAGGCCAAGCCATCCATGGCTCTGGAGAGTTTCTCAAGGACAACAATGGAGTGGACTGGGCATCAGGCTGGAGCCTGGTCTGGCCTGGGGAAATGGCCCAGGAAGGCCAGAGCCGCGGCTCAAGTCTCCTGCTTAGACTAGGCTCTCTGGGGCCCCTGACTCAGCCTGTTCAGGCCGGGCCCTGGTTACCTGCGAGAGCGGCTGTGCCCGGCCCCTGCCCTCTGGGGGTCCTGGGATCCTCCCAGTAGTCACAGCTACCCGCAACTGCTCCTCGGAGAGGGACGTGCGGTTCTGATGGGGAGAGGGCACAGCCCGGCTCAGACCTCCCAGGACCGAGAGCTGGAGGCCTGGGGAGTGTCCTTTCCCGGGGGGTATCATGGCCAGAAAGGCTCACACTGACAGGGGAGAAAGACGCATGCGCCCCTCTCCAGGCTGGCACACACGGGTTAACTCCAGGCTGCTAGAGGGGGGCCTGCACACAGAGGGTTAATGCAGGCTGCTTGGAAGGCAGTGCTGGGATAACCTGGGGGCCGGGTATAGTCACATGGTGTTTAGCACTGAGTTAGTTCACTAGGCCACCACTCTGACTACCAGGTGGTTGGCACCAGAACTGGACCGCACAGCAGGTAAGCCACACCCACCTCCTGACTCTAACTCTTAGCACCGCAGGGGCTTGGGCACAACGGTGACACGACCGGGAAGCCAACAGGCACTACCTGGGTTCATGCACACCCACAATGCCTTGGGCACTGGGCATCTCCTCATGCAGGGCTGCGGGCATCCAAACACACACCATGCCCACGTCACATCAGCTTCACACCATCGGTCACCGGCCTACCTGGTGAGCCCTGCGCAGCCGCGCAAAGTATGCCTCCCTCTGTGGGCGCAGGGAAACAGCAGGAGAGGAGTGAGAGAGAGAGAGGTCTAGGAATTGCAGGCCAGGCTTGGGGAGGAGGAACCCGAGAAGGGAGAGGAGACTAGAAGGCAGCCAGCCCTGGGAGGAAGCTGGGACACTTGGGTCTGTCCAAGGAACAAGGACAGGACAGCTCGAGACTCCGCCTCCTGAGTGTGCCTGACCTTCCTGGGGCCCTGGGTGAGAGGATGTATCTGCTTGAACGCCAGCCTCAGCCAGCAGGGGACTCCTGGACCAGGACCCACTTCCTTGGGTGCCACCAGGTGACCATGACTACCCAAGGAACGAATTTGGGCAAGCTGCCCTGGAGTCCTCCCCGAAGACCCTGCACCCCACAGTGCCACCATCACCACCCACTAGACCATGACTCTGGAGCAGCAAAGACATGCTTGTCTCTGACGCGTGTAGTGAAGGGGGGCCTCGGACCTGGGTGTGCATCCCAGCACGGCCACCTTCTGGCTATGGGAGCTCAGCAAGCTGCCTAACCTCTCATCGGAATTTCCTCCCCGATGAAATAGAGCAGTCGTAGTGCATCGCTCACACAGCTGTGATCTGTGCTATAATATATAGATAAGTGCCTGGAACAGTGCTGAGCACGGAATAAGAGCTCAATAAATATGACCTACAATAAGAATTATTATTATGCCCAACACCAAGCACAGGGCCATTACCTCAGGTGAATTTTCAGTGAGCAAATGAGCGAAACTGAAACTGTGTCTTATTTGTCCTTGTGTCTCGTCCAGGACCTAATTGCATTGAGAGCTAATAATCACTAATAGAGGAGCGCTTATTATGTGCCGGGCACGATCTCCAATCCTCCCAGCCACCCTGGGCTGAGGGTTATCAAAAGGCAGCCAGCTGTGCCGAAACCGGTTTGGCTCAGTGTTAAGAGCGTCGGTCTGCGGACTGAAAGGTCCCAGGTTCGATTCCGATCAAGGGCATGTACATTGGTTGCAGGCACGTCCCTGGTAGGGGGTGTGCAAGAGGCAGCTGGTTGATGTTTCTCTCTGATCGATGTTTCTAGCTCTCTATCTCTCTCCCTTCCTCTCTGTAAAAAATCAATAAAATATATTAAAAAAAAAAAAGGCAGCCAGCTGGTAAGTGGTAAGGTCTAGACTGAGGCCTATCCGACCCTAAGGCCGGTGCACTTAACCACAATGTGGCTGACACCTGCCTGCTGGCCCAGACGGCTCCGAGGTCAAATAGCTCTGAGTCCCCACTGGCCCCAAGGCTCAGCAGAGGCCCAAAGATGACGCCAGGAGGGCCTGCCAGCGGCTGCATGTCATACCTTGTCTCCCTGGTATGCCTCCGGCAGCTGCCAGTAGAAGGATTCGTGACCAAGTTGGACGAAGTTGCCAAAAGAGAGCTGGGCACCCTCGGGCACGGGCTCCACGGTGAAGCCTCCTGTCAGGCGGCTGTTCCGCTGCGGGTTCACCAGGGCAAAGCCTTGGGAGTCCCCGGGGGCGAAGTGGGTGGAGATCTAGAAGCAGGAGGGTGGGTGTCAGCCTGGGCACTGGGGCTGGCACCTTGGTGGAGGGGTATGGAAGGACATGAGGGAAGGTAACGGGGATGGCTGAGATCAGGACTGAGACAGAAACAATGGGGAGATGGGAGGGGGGGCAATTGGGGAAAGGAGGGGCTTGGGCCCAGTGCTGACAAAAGCAATTATGAGGTCTCTGGGAGTTTCAGGGCAGGGCGAGTGTTGCTGGGAGCTGTACTGACATGGCAATAATGCAGGCATGGGTATAAGTGTCCTCATAGACAGTGGGGATGCCCCTGGGCCAGGGTTCTGATTTGCCACAGTGACGACGAGTCAGGGAGAGGCAGGTGGCAGGCCCCAGGGCAGGGGTGGGCACAGGCTCTTACCAGGTGGCGGGTGTAGGAGGAGCTGGCGCACTGCTGGCTGATGCCCATGCAGAAGCAGGGCAGGCAGCCGTCGGGGTTGCTGGCACTCAGGTGGAAGTAGTGGGGCTGACAATGGTTGCAGGTGGGGCCTTGCACCCGGGCCTGGGAGGATGGGTGAAGAGGTGGGTGCAGGGAACGAGGCTGGGTCTCTTGCACCTCCAGCCACCTGTGAGCTCAGTCTTCCCGGCCATTTCCAGCAATTCTGGGAGCCTCTTTCACCCCCATGCCCAGGCCCCAGATCCCATCAGCTGCCGCCTGCCTTCCCACCAGTCCTGGAGCCGTGGGGCAGAGAGCAGCCCGCCGAGGGCAGGTGGCCAGGGCCCAGGAACAGTCCCGAGGGCGCGGTGAGGAGGCCCGGTCACCGCTGTGGCTGCAGGTCAGGGCCTCATGAAGGGCGGGGCTTTAGACTAACCTTGCACTGGCATTGGCCAGCGGCGTCACACTGGCTGCTGATGCTGCCCTGGGGGTCACAGGCACAGCCAATTGGCTCTGGCATTGGGCCGTCTCCTGCAGTGGAGGGAAGCCACAGCTGGAATCACAAACCCGCTCCAAGCACTCCCATTTCCACCACCCCCATCATCTAATTCACCGCCCAAAGAGGAAGTGTTTGTTTCTGAACGCCCACCCCGTAGGCCTTCCACACATTCACAGCAGCCCTCTGGCATGAGGGTGCCATATACTCTCCCCATTTTACAGGCAAAGAAGCCGAGGCTCAGAAAGGGAAAGTCACCCGCCCCAGAGGGAAGGAGAACGAAGGCTCTGTCCCAACTTCACCCCTGGGGCAGACTGGGTAGCCCAACCCGGAAGGCTTCCCCAACCATACTCACTTCGGCACGGCTGGCCCTGGCTGGGATTGCCATAGAAACCCGGGGCACACCTATGGAGAGAGAAAGCACTAGATGAAGGGAGGGCAGAGCGAGAGAATCCTGCTGAGCCTGCTGTGCGTCAGGGACCAATGACCTCAGAGATGGAAGAAGCCAATCAGTCTAACTCACCCATGTTCCAGCCGGGGAAACAGCTGGGAGAAGAGCAGGGGCATGCCCTAGGCCCTGGAGCCAGTGCAGTTAGCATGCTCAGGCCCCAAACCTATGCCCTCCACAGGAATGAGGGTTTTTTTCTGGGAAGTCTCTGGCCAGTGTGGGTCAGGGATGTTGGGGTTGGAGGTGAACTGCAGGTCTCCGAGGACCTGAGGCTTATGGCTGAGGCCCTCTGGGAAAGGAGCTGACCACGCTCTGGGGGCTTGTGTCTGATGAGTGGGAGCCTCTGTTCCCTCCAGGTCAGGAGGACTGGGCCCAGCCTGGCTCCAGGGGCAGCCGCTCCTGCATGCCACCCACCCTGCTCGTCGACCCGCCTCACCTCTCACAGTGACGCCCGCTGTGGCCAGGGGAGCAAGCATCACAGGTAGGGTGGCCGTCTGTGTCCAGAAAGCAAGTGTGGGTGGCCCTGAGAGTGTGGGGGCAAATGCCCAGTTAGACGGTCAGCAGCTCTCTCGCCAGGACCAGGGGAGCAGGGAGGGGAAGGAGGGGCGTGGGCACTGACATATTCTGAGTGCCAGGCACTTTACTAAGAGCTCCGTGTGCATCATCTCACTCAATTCTGACACCAGGAAACAGCTGGAGCACATCATTGTCCCCATTTCACAGACGAGGAGGCTGATACCCAGGGCCACCGTATGTCATACCATAAAATGACACACTGAGGGAGCGGGAAGGCCAGGATTGAACCACTGCCTTCCAGGAGGGCCTGGGAGGAAGGGGGTCTGGGAAGGGGCAGTGGACATTTCAGGAAAGGGCAGGTACAGGCAGGGGTTGGACGCACTGGCCAGCAGAGGGGGGTCCATGGCACGGGCATGGCTGGCAGTCGTGTGGTGTCCCTTGTTGGGCGTCCCCGTAGTATCCTGGCTGGCACTGCTCACACCGAGGACCCTCTGTGTGGTGCTGGCATCCCTGAAGGGGCAGAGCATGGTTAGGGATGAGCCCCCGGAGGCCACAGGCCCAGGCCCCAGATCCCGTCAGCTGCTGCTGCTTCCTGCCTGGCCACTTCCCCCTCCTGGGGTAGGAAGAAGGGCGAAACCCACCTGGCAGTCGCCTGTTTCGGGCTCACAGACCTCCGTGTGGCCATGGCAGCTGCAGCGTTCGCAGGTGCCCAGGTAGAGCCCGCTGGGCGTGCGTGTGTAGCCGGTGTCACAGTCCTGGGGGCGGGAAGACGGCAATGGGAGGAGCACCCTCCGCAGGACTCATTCTGGGCAGGGACCCCTGGGTGGGGAGGCTGGGGTGGGCTTGGGGAGGTGGAAAGCGCTAAAGGGAGCACCATGAAAGGAGCTGGCTGGACGGGGGTGTGGGAGCCAGGGCTCACCTGGCAGGATGGGCCCCGGTACCCGGTGGGGCAGGTGCACTGCTCCACCTCCAGCGCGGTGTCCTGGCCAGTGTCCTCAGGCACAGCCACGTCCATGCTGATGCCCGAGATCCTGGGAGTGACAAAACCCTACGAATGAGCCCGCGCTCTGGGCCAGGCATCTCTGGGATCCCACAGCGGTGATCTCATTCATCCTCCCGAGGATGTCAGGAGGCCACTGGGCCCCATCCAGTCCTCTCATGAGGCGTCCACCCCCCAGCTGCTGCGAGGACTGTGGCGAATGGCTTGCACCTGCAACTTCCTCCAGAGACCGCACCTTCCTCGCCCGGAAAGGTCCCACCACCTTTGACAGGCTGACCCAGGCCCCAAAACTCCTTTGTCTCAAAGCTGGATGGCGCTGAAGGGCTCCATGGGGATGAAGTGGAGGCTCCACCTGGAACTACTTCCTGCCTTCTGACTGGGTGCCACTTCCCCCGTCTGTGTCCCTCTCTCCCTCCTCCCCTCAGGCTCCCCCTGTGAACCATGTGCACCCCAATACCCATTCCAGGCTTTGCTTCTAGGGAAACCCGACCTGAGACAAGCCCTGGGAGGGAGGCACTGTTATAAGCTCCATTTCACAGATGGGAAAATAAGGCACAAGATGTCCACACTGCCCACCGGAGGAGAGCTGGCAGTCTGGCGGCACCGCATCCCCCCACTGAGACTGGAACCGCCTGCACCAAGCCTCTTCTGTCCCCCCGCCCATTCCCTGATACCTGCTCTCAGCTGGCTGCTGGCTGTAGGATGCCTGGATCAGGAGCGTATCAATGCCCGCCAGGGCCATCAGCAGATGCTCCCGTGTGGCCGGCTGCCCATCAGGCCGCTGCCATGCTTGCTGCCAAGGCAAGGATACATGTGCTACAAACCTGACATCCTGGGATACTGACGGTCCCTGAGTGGGAGAAGCAGGGGGCCCGCCGCCGCCTCCTCCTCCTCCTCCGGAAGGCGCCTGGGACGCTGCTGCTCACCTCCCGGAAGGGCACGGTGAAGGTGGTGGGCTGGCCGGGGCTAGGCTCCCGGGAGGAGTGATGCTCCAAGACGATGCCATTGCCTTGCAGGACCACCAACGGCTGCCTGTGCAGGGGCAGCGAGCCGGGCTGGGGCTGCTGGGTCACTGTGAAGCGCAGCTCTCCTCCGTAGGAGGTCACCTGGGGCACGGGGTGACCAGGCGCTCAGCTGCGGCCCCCATGGTCGGACTGGCCGCTGCTCCAGCCTCCCACTGCCCCCACCACCTTTTCGTTCTTTCTTTTTTTAAAAAATATATTTTTTTAAATTGATTTTCCACAGAGAGGAAAGAAGAGGGACAGAGAGTTGGAAACATCGATGAGAGAGAAACATCCACCAACTGCCTCCTGCACCCCCCCCACTGAAGATGTGCCCGCAACCAATGTATATGCCCTTGACCAGAATCGAACCTGGGACCCTTGAGTCCGCAGACCGACGCTCTATCCACTGAGCCAAACCGGTTTCGGCTCCCACCACCTTTTCCAACTCTTCTCCCAAGACACTGCCACACTCCTGCTTCTGAGCCTTTGCCTGTGCTGCTCCTGCTGCCC